ATGCACCCCTTGCACACAGAAAAACACACAATGCATTACACACACAGACACACATACACAAGCAATACAACCGTTACACACAATGCATCCCTTACACACACAGAAACACACAATGCATTCATTACACACACTCAATACACCCCTTACACACATTCAATGCATCCCGTACATACACAGAAACACACCTTGCAGCCCTTACACATACAAACACAATTTCACACAATGCATTCCTTACACATATATCAGGACATCCCCTACACACTCCACCCCCTGTGAACAAACTCATTGGTGGAACATGAAGGTGGACCCTGGGACCCAGACCCTGAGCTGTGTAAAGGGCCCCCAAAAAATGGAGCTGCTTCCCGTTCTCCCAGAACATTGATTTTTGTGACCACAGTTACAAACCGCCTCCAGAGAGCCTGTTCTGCACCAGACCAGTGGAGCCAGACTGCATCTGGTTGTAAGTAGGCAATCTAGTATATTATTCGTGGCACTAAGCTCTAATTTACCTCACATTAAAGAAACACTATAGTCCCCAGAACCACTTCAGCTTAATGTAGTGGTTCTGGCGTCTATAGCCTGTCCTTGCAGGCCTTTTAATGTAAACACGGCGGCACTGCAGCACTGGCGTTAGTTAACATGGAAAATCATATGGGTGGGGCATTGTGATGTCACATGGGGGGGGCGGTAAACTTTACTTTTGCCTAGGGCGGCAAAAATCCTTGCACCGGCCCTGGCTGGAGGGGGCTGTGTGAGCTGTGGCCGCACAGTGTCCCATGGTAGTTAGGGTGCTGTGCGGCCAGTACAGCTCACACAAGCAAACAGCTGATAAACTGGCCGCACGGAGGAAATGTGTATGTGTGACTGTCTGCCTGTGACTGTATGTGACTGTCTGCCTGTAACTGAGTGTGTGACTGTCTGTAACTGAGTGTGTGACTGTCTGCCTGTAAATGTGTGTGTGGGGCTGCAGGGATTTTGTAGAAGGGGGCGGGGGTTTTGTATTGGGACAGGAGTCTTTACAAATTGTAAAAAAAAAAAAGAGAACCTTTTAAATTTTTACAGGTTTTTTTGGAAGTGCCAAGCACAGGATCCGCCCCGGGTGCCAAATGCTCTAGGTACGCCCCTGACTAGAACTACATAAACAGAAACAAAAGTAATTTAATCCCTTAAGGATGGTGGGCACAACGGTAAAGGAGCAGAAAGAATCAGAAGGAGCACAAAGGTAAAGTAGTAGAAGGAGCAGAAATAATCTACAAGGAGCAGGAAGGGTCAGCAAGGAGCAGGAAGTAAAGGAAGGAGCACAAAGGCATAGGAGCACAAAGAATCAGGAGCACAAAGGTAAAGTAGGAGAAATGAGCAGGAAGGGACATCAAGGAGCAGAAAGGGGCAGCAAGAAGCAGGACGTGGCAGCAAGGAGCAGGGAAGGTCTGCAAGGAGCAGGAAGAGGCAGCAAGAAGAAGGAAGGGTCTGCAAGGAGCAGAAAGAATCAGAAGGAGCACAAAGGTAAAGGAGCAGAAAGAATCAGAAGGAGCACAAAGGTAAAGTAAGAGAAGGAGCAGCAAGGAGCAGAAAGGGCAACAAGGAGCAGAAATTGACAGCAAGGAGCAGGAAGGGACAGAAGGAACACAAAGGTAAAGAACCAGAAAGAATCAGGAGCACAAAGGTAAAGTAGGAGAAGGAGCAGCAATGAGCAGAAAGGGTAACAAGGAGCAGGAAGGTAAAGTAGGAGAAGGATCACAAAGGTAAAGTAGGAGAAGGAGCACAAAGGAACAGAAATAATCTACAAGGAGTAGAAAGGGTCAGCAAGGAGCTGGAAAGGGCAGCAAGGAGCAGGAAGGGCCAGAAGGAGCCCAAAGGTAAAGCATTTTCATTTAGATGAAGTTGTTATGATGACCAGAATGTTCCTTTAATTTGATTAAAGGAACACTATAGTGTCAGGAATGCAAACATGTATTCCTGACATCATAGTTATTGAAACACTATTCATCCTGGCTTTATGTGATAATGACTATGCCCCTCCCCTTCATGACACTGTCAAAAAGGGGCCACACATGAATGTCATTACAATTATACCCTCCCTGGAAAAATTCCTGCGGACGCCCATGGTCCCTGCTGTCCTATGCACTTACCTGCTCGCCGGCGACCACGATGGGGGGACTTGCTTGGCATCCCAGGGAGCTGCTGACCCGGGCCCTCCTGGGCCATGTGATCGCAATGAGGTCGCGGTCACATGTACGGAATAGCCGTCCAAAGCAGTGCCTGCAGGGAGCCTGCCTGGAATGACAGGCAGTCCCCCTGCTGCCTGTAGAAAAGTTTAATAAAGTTTCAAAACAGTGTAAAAATAAATTATATATATACTTAGAGGAGATTATATAAATAATACATATATATATGATCTAAGTATGTATTGTGATGGACTACCTGGCACCCAGACCAGGTACCTCCGTCAATCACTGCTTCCTAGTACTTGCGAGCACCATAAGCACTGCACTGGAACACCATCCAGTTTCCAGTGGGTAGAGCTCTCCTAGTCCAGAGAGTGGAGCAGGGAGCTCTTATAAGAGCAAGCGTTGTGATCCAAGGGAGTATAGTGATTATAGCAATCCCCAGAGTGAATATAGCTCTCCAATCCCCCAAACATGAGCCTAAACTTCATGAAGGGTAAAACAAATCTCGTTTAATGGTAGCCACAATTGACCTTTTATGACAGTCACCATGCAAGGGGCACTACCCCAAAATTACATTGAAACACACAAAAGTTACACCCCCTGATAGCCCCGATCTGGGTGAAAAACATATCTAAAAATCACCCAGATCGGTTCAGGGGTTCATGAATTTCCTGGAAGTCATAGTTTTGGCTGACTGCACGCATGGTCCCATGCCCAAAACAGTTCCATAGAATCGCGACTAAGTGCCGTTGGGGGAACGACTGGGAACTGCGAAGTTTTAATGCCGAAAATAGTTCCAGGGCATTCGCGGCTAAGTCCCCCTTAAGTCTATTTACAGTTTTGGTCCATGCGAACAGCCGCCAGTGAGCTAGCGTTCAGTTCTATGGAAAGTGCCGAAGCAGGGGGAATGAAATATGGGTCTTTACAGTAGCTGACCTGGCCCATAGTCTTTTGGCAGGAGCCTGGCAAGCAGGCCCCTACAAACATTGGCCAAAATTAGCATTAAAATTAGTTTTTTGCAATTTTCATACACAAACAAATATGAACTCTAACTTTGGCCAGTGTTTGTGACTAAGTGACTACTATAAAAGACTGTACATACCCCATTTGTAATATCTTGGGTTGTCTACTTTTTTAAATGGTATGCCATCATGAGGGTAATTCTCATTCCTGGGCTACCATTTGGTCTCAAAGGCAACATAACCAGTCTGGCAATTTCAATGTGTATAAACCAAAAAATGTAACATGCTATATTTGACCCTGTAACTCTCTAAAACACCATACAACCTGTACATTTGGGGTACTGTTTTACTTGTGAGACATTGCTAAATACAAATGTGTATTATTTTGCAGTAACTGCTAACAGTATTCTGCTATTCACAGTTAAAGGACCACTATAGTGCAAGTATGTTTTCCTGGCAATATAGTGCCCCGAGGGTGCCCCCACCTTCAGGGTCCCACTCCCGCCGGGCTGGATGGCGAGGAAAGGGTTAAAACTTACCTTTTCTCCAGCGCCGGGCGGGGAGCTCTCCTCCTCCGATTCTCCTCTTCGGCTGAATGCGCATGCGCGACAGGAGCTGCGCGCATTCAGCCTGTCTCATAGGAAAGCATTTACAATGCTTTCCTATGGACACTGGCGTCTTCTCACTGTGATTTTCACAGTGAGAAGCACGCAAGCGCCTCTAGCGGCTGTCAATGAGACAGCCACTAGAGGCTTTAGAGGCTGGATTAACCCATTTATAAACATGGCAGTTTCTCTGAAACTGCTATGTTTATAAAAAAAGATGGGTTAATCCTAGAGGGACCTGGCACCCAGACCACTTAATTAAGCTTAAGTGGTCTGGGCGCCTAGAGTGGTCCTTTAAAATGCCGTGCAGAACTAAAAAAATAACATTTGTTTATTTCTCAATTTTTTTATATTTTATTAATATTAAATTATGTTTCATATAAAAATATTTGATATGACATGAAAGCTTTGTTTCTCCAGAACAAAATTATATATAATAAGTGTGTATGCATTCATTATGAAAGAGGTGAATTCTGGTTGAATAGACATATAGCACAAATTCAAGTTTTTGTTTTGAGCACAACTTGTACAACTGCATCAGTCCTTAAGGGGTTAACTCCTAAATAGAAGGCAACTGAGCAGTGAGACTGCAGTCATGATCTATAAACTAAAACCGTTTAATTAAAGGAACACTATAGGGTCA